ATTATTTAATTTAATTATGTGCGGCCCAAACCAAATTTTCATCTTCTAATGTGGCCCAGGGAAGGTGAAAGGTTGGACACCCCTGCTTTAGCCTGGGCCTTAGGATTTTTCTCATTATATGTTTTTGAGCATAAAATGTCTCATTTTGCTTTGAACCGTTACTAGTAAAACGATACTTCCTTTGATAGATCAGTATTGTGATGGGAACACAGGGACCATGTGTAAACTAGAAATAGCCAAAGAGTTTTTTACTCCGTTTTCTCATTTACACGTAATGAGAAAATCCTAAGGCCCAGGCTAAAGTAACCATCCAATTTAGAAAATCTTCAGTGGACTCTGTACTATGAGAACTGCATCACAGAATAACATTAGCTGTTAACGGTTTGCCATCTATTGGGAGATGTAATTCCAGAATTGATGAATGCATCCTTAATACAAGAGTAGAGATTGAATTGGCTGCTTCTGCAGCCTGACTGAAATAAAGGGTCTCCCCACTGCCCCCAATATCTGCACATGGTGTAGGGACAAAGTCCTAATGTCTGTTGTATTATACGATTTCAGGAGGAAAAAAATAGGGCTAATTTTTTTGTGGCTTTTGTTTAGTTTCAATCCCAAAATATACCATCATCCATTTAACCCACAGTATATGATTAGAGGTTGAAAACAAATTGTGCGTGATAATAAATATTTTGCCAGGTGCATGTAGCTGAAGGCAAGTTACAATTTGCATGAAGTTGATAATGAATAATTGCATTTGATTGGGCTTTAATCACCAAATAAATACACATCTGATAGTTTTGCATACATTTTTGAATTGTTTTCATTCTCTAGGCTTTATCGTTACCTATTTTTATACAGTCTATCTTTCTGTCTCTGTTGCTATTCATGTCTTTCCTCGTTATTAGAACAGGCCCTTTTGGTACACATGCTGGAGCCCATAGAGGAGCTTCCAGAGAATGAAAAAGGTAATCAACAGGACCAGGTGAAGTTTTTGTGGCTTAAATTCTTCTTGCATTATGCGTGTATATCAGAGAGCGAGAGACCAGAGAGCAGTTTTACATTTCTTCTACCAGAAGACACAAAAAATCTTACCTCAACATTTTCAGACAGCCTCAGTGTTTTTGTGATCCCTTTAAAAAGTAGCTTCTCCTATTGCTTGTCTTCCCTTTTTGCCAATTAAGTGTCCACCACTATTCTCTCTAGGATTCTGTTTTATTTTTCTCTTATATCCAGCCTCCATGTTAACTTTCTTACACCTACAGACAATTGAGTCTGAGGGAAAGAGGGCCAACCAGTTTCCTTGCTTTTGAATTTATCTTTATTTTGGGGTATTGTTGGAATTCCTTGTAGTTCATTTGATGCAATTCTTGCCTTGTATGGCTTTCAGCCACTGTTTGAACATACTCCTGTCTTATTCATACAGATCTAGATTTACAGTTGCCTTCAGGAAGTCATGGAATCTTAGGGTTGGAAGGGACCTTCTAGTCCAACCCTACTCGAGCAAGAGACCGTATACCATTCTGGACAAAAGTCAGGGATTAACATTATTTATTTATTCAAGTTTCTCTGTTGAGAGTAGTTTTGAAATAATTGGCTATAGATTGATCCTCCAGAAAAAAACCATAGATGAAATTGCTAAAAAACACAATAAGTAACAGCGTGAATGATAAACTATATTCAGTGAACTATCCGTGTTTCCCCCAAAATAAGATCAGGTCTTATATTAATTTTTGCTCCAAAGGATGCATTATGGCTTATTTTCCGGTTAGGGCTTATTTTTGGAGAAATACGGCACTAAATGCGTCCGTCTGACTGAGTCTTATTTTTGGGGTAGGGCTTATATTACAAGCATCCCGAAAAATCATGCTAGGGCTTATTTTCTGGTTAGTTTTATTTTGGGGAAAACACTGTAGTAGTAATAGGATTCTGTGATCACATTATATGTTTACCTACATTGGTTTGGACTGAAAATTATTCTTTAGAGTAGGTCCACTAAAATAAATAATAAATACCTTTTAATGGATTTATTATATCTATAATTAAACCGATACCTAATGCATAACATGATTTGTCAGATGTAGTTGTGACCAAAGAAAGAGTTGAATTTTGGATTTCCACAGCTGGCCCAGTTATATTTAAAATTAAGTTATTGTTTTGCTTTTTGATATAGAAACATTAGAGTTTCTTAGGCAGAAAATTCAGGTGAGTGCATAATACACTGCAAATATTTTGATGAAGTGTGTATTGATTTTATGATGTGATTTTTAAAGAAAAATACTTGGCTTGTTTCAGAAATAGAAAAGCAAGTGCCCCAAACAGGAAAGAATAAATCTTACATGATAAATATCTTGAAGAGCGATCCATCTTTAACAAAAGAGCTGAGAACTGTTTTGGAGCAGACCCTAGCAGAAAAGTTGGAATCCTTGGGAATTAAATCCGTAAGATCACTTTAAATTGTTCAAATGTATGAAGGAATATTAATGTCTTTTTCAAACTAAAATCATAGCACAGAGATCAGGGCCTCTAAAGTAGTGATGCACATCTGTAACAAGACTATTATATATTCAAAAGTGGAAAGGCTCAACATTACTCATAATGCAGGAATGTCTGGTGAAGTTGATGAAACTTGCAGAGATGACTAACTTGACTCTAATCAAAAGAGAAAACACTGTATTTATTATTTACAGTCAACCTTAAATATATTGTTTTTTTCCTCTAATAGGCTTTTTGCATGAAATAGAAAAATGTGCACATAATTTGTGACTTTGATTATTTAAAAAACTGGAAAATAGAAAAAAGTGAGCTCTTTTTGGTAATAATGAAATAAGACTTAATATAAATGTACTTATATTTGATGCAGAAAAAAATGGAAACCATTTTTTCCTTCCTTCCTTCCTTCCTTCCTTCCTTCCTTCCTTCCTTCCTTCCTTCCTTCCTTCCTTCCTTCCTTCCTTCCTTCCTTCCTCCCTCCCTCCCTCCCTCC